TTAAAATAGAAATTTCAATTTTAGAATCGATGGAAACTGGATGTGGAGTGAGAGTTGTGGATTGAATTTTTTTTTTGTTTGAGTTAAATTTTAAATCGGAAAAGAAATTTTTTCTTGGAAATAGGAGAAACAAGTTGTTGTATCATTGATTTAATTCTGCTAAGGTTAACTTCCTACATGTCTTACAATTTGTATCCAGCTTTTAATATTTGATTGATCATTCGACTTTATCTCGTAGGAATCAAACCCTCGCCTTCAGAAAATTGAAGCATATTCATTTTTAATTCTGTTGTTCTTCAAATCGTCTTTGGAAGATTGTTCTAGATTTGGCAGGTTCGTTTACTTAAAGCTTGATCTTCCTGAATCCATTTTAAAAGTAATGGATACAACCTCCACATTTCACATCCATTGTAATTTTACAAATCTATTCACAACCCTTAAAATTCTTATAATCATCAATTATCAGCTAAGAGCAGGGCTAAGAGTAACAACATAAATTCAAATCCTGCCCAAAATAATACGAAAAATTATCAGACATGTTGGGTTTGTGCTACACTTGTAAATTTAAATTCACCATCTAGTAGATAATTGTATGCGTACGCATGAATATGTTTCGTTTCTATACTTTTCTTTCCTGTTAAGATAAGAGCTGATATGTTTTCACAGCACGTAGTAAAAACAAATGGGAACTAACTTAAATTTGTTTGTAAGAAGCAAATGTAAATGAGCATCTCTTAAATTTTTTTGAACCTTTCTTCCGCGTTAAAAGTGGAAATATATTGGTTATAAAAAATTCAATTTTATCGTTTTTCATGTCACATTCCATTTCCTTTTAGGAGTGCTTTTAAGAAGAATAGAAGCGCGTGTACATTTAAAGGATGAGCAAATAGTAAGAATAAACTAAAAGTTTCATGAAATGGCAAATTTGATACACTTGTGCTGAAAGCATGTCAATTTTTCCCTCTGCTTATTAATTTTGTCTGCCTACATACTGTTAATTATGAGTATCACAAACATACGATGACTATTTACACGCAATCATCCCACTGCCATCCCACTTAGTCAAATTAAAGCACACGACAGACAAAAAAACTTTTGTACATCCTTCGAAGTCTTTAAAGAAATTGTCTGTCTACCTTTTTCATGTTATTACATGATTTTCATACTTTCTGTCCCAAACCAAATTTTTTATTGTTATGCTTTCTTCCTCGAAATGAGGATCCCGTTTGGTAATATGTCACATCTGTCACAAGTTTGTATGTATTTTTTTTATAATCTTCGTGACGGATGTTTATTTGTATGGATTTAACTTTTGACCATTCCATTTGAGTATTTTTCACATAAATGAGGATTCATTCATCTTAAGTAAAACATGATAAAACTGAAGAGTAAGTATGAAAGGCATGTTGAGGGGAAAGATGCGAATTTTTGGGAATTTTCTTATTAAAGCTGTTCTCAGACAAGGTTGGTACCTCTGATAGATTTACAAGAGATCATGGTAATATTCAGTGTCCAGTTTGTACTTAGTGAGGCTCAGTGGAGCTGCTCTAAGAACAATAGTCCAGAAACAGCCAATAAATAGTTAATATGGTACTAAAGACAAAATAGCAGCACCTTAAGTACAAAGTTCGACATAAAGCTAAGAAATATTGATGAAGAATACCCGAAAAAGGAAGAATATTATATGAGGGACTTCCTATAAGTTTATCTGAATTTTATGGGTATCGTTCTGCTTTCTAAGCATACATTTATGTAATTCACTATTTTTTCTATAATTTTATTTTTCTGCTCTATCTTACAACAAATAATAAAAGTTGTCAAAGAGGTCTGGCACGAGGGAAGAGAAAAAAAGGAAGGATAGAGAGCAGAAAAAAAGGAATGACATTTTTTTGTTCCTTATAAAATATTCATTTGGAGTGTCGGAAAACATTTTTTTTTCATGAAGCGTAAAAATTGTAAAGCAACAACGGAATAAAAGCTGTTCCTTTTTAGACTTGTGCGATATTTATTTTGGAATTACATTCATTTCGTGTTAACGATCAATTTAATGGCCCCTGGTATGGAATATTTTTCATTTCTGCCTATAGAATTTCATATTATAGAATAAAGTGAGCACGCAATTGTTGGTTTTTCAAATAGAATCTTTTAGGGATGGGGAAGGTCTTTAATGATTCATAATCAGTGCTGTTATTATTACAGGTGGAGAAATAGGACAGGAAGATGATTAATGCACGTTGTTGGTGCTGTTTTAATAATTTCTGGACATGATGAGCTTAAATGATTTGATTCGGTCATAATTTAATGCATGGTTCTCAGTTTTTTGCTCTTGGTTCTTGGTATTTGATTCTAGAGGCAAAATCGAGAACTAAAAGCCAAAATTCTATAATCAAGAACCGATAATTGAGAATTGAACCAAAAAATCTGGAGGTTTGGATTCTAAATAAAGTCTCGAACTTCTGTTAACATCATTGAAGTCACATTTTACATCTCAACACACTTAAATCCTCCCCAGAAACTTCCCATTCTAGCAACCTTCACTTAACAAAAGAATGTGAGTCATCATTAAAGACAATCTAGCAGGAAAAGGCGGAAGATAAAAATTTAATTCACTTCTCAACGTTTTAATAGCTTCTTTAACAATGAAGCATCGGTGAAAATGTTTACAATAAAACCTCTTAATTTCTTCTTCAGTCTTTTTATGTATCTTCGTGAAGAATTTTTCCTTAATTCATCAAGAAAATCAAATTTCCGACATTAAGTTATGAAGCAAGTTGAGATAGATCAAGTTTTTATATTGCTTACAACGTCAAAAAGATTGTTCAATTTTTTATCGATGTTGTGGATTATTCTGATGTTATCAGATCATTATTGGATGTAGAATATTAATTTTCAACTTCTGAATACCTTAAATACTTATTAAATCTGATACTTTACAAGAAAATTAAGAACTTTCCATTGTATCACATTTACATCATTATTCATGTTCTGTATTTGAGTTGCACATTTAATTTATGAAGAAAAAAAAAATCAATATTCAAATGCCTTAAGCAGTTTTGAAAAATAATTAGATCTGTATGCCTACATAATGTTAAGGTCAAGGTCAAATTAGTCGAGAAAATTGAAATGAAATTTTAGTTTACTTCTGAAGAAGACAGCAAAGAGTCTCAATTTAAATGAATGATACAGCTGTGCCTTTTAGGCATTGCCCAAAAAATGTTTTAAATTAATTTTAAATGGTGAAATTTTGTTCTTTTTTGGACAGATCATCAAAGTTTGAAAAATGTGTAGGAAGGACTGCAAACTTTTGATTGCATAAATATTAAAACATTTAATTTATGTAAGAGTTTTGTGGGTTTTATTTGGGATTATGGAACTGCCAACGCAATACTTTTGATGTGTTGATTCATGTCGCGCACATTTAAGATTACTTAGCAATTTTATTGATTTAATTACACGTCATACAAGCGTAAATCATAGCATTTAGATACGACCTTCAACAATCCAAATCTAAAATTCATTTCAAATCCACTGCTGATAAGTAGCACAATAAGATTCTTCAAAAACCACTCAAAATCGCTTATATTACATGCATTTATTTTAAGAACATCAAACATCACCCGACACTGCCTAAAATAAATTTCCTATTAGGAATTTTGAAGTATCAGAAATCAAATTCGATAAGCACCAAATTTCAAAAGAATCTGACGATCCATAAATATTGAGAATCAGATTGAATTTCCAATGAAATCAGAATTTTGCGAACAAAATAAAGAATAAATTTTTGAGCACTTGTCAGAAATTGTTTACCTTTTTCCATCTGATTTCGGTTGTTAAACATTGCATATTTATGAACCCTATCCATGCGTTCAGTTCTGTAAAATCAGAATCGATTTTCTTGTTTAATATCAAATTCTCATTTCATTTACTTCAAGTTAAAGTTTGCGGTCAAGTTTGAAGTTTAATTGGACTTCTCAATTTAAAATCCGAGTCAGCTACATGCTTAGTCTCAATTGTGAATTTCATGAGAGAGAATTTACATTTCCATCTCTAAGATAACAGTCGTGAACTTCTAAACTTTACTATTCAAACATTCCTTTCAGAGAAATACACGAGGAAATTAAATATAATCCATGAGACTTATCACGACAAAATTTTGTCTTTAAACTTTTTTTTTGTACGTTTATCTGTCAACGGCAACGGCAATGACAATGACCTAATGATTGATAATTCGATTGCATGCTAATGGTTGATTATAAATGACGTCTCAAACAAAAAAATCGTTGAATTATTCTGAAGCGATGTTTAATCCCTGCAGTCAGGATTATAGATGGGAGGTTGGCTGGGCTGTGGAAAGCTTTATGCAAGAAACCACTGAGTTTCTTACTAAATTGGTATAGAAAACCTATTAAGGGAAGCTCATTAAATGGGATATTTGGGACATTAATGTAAGAATTTTGTGTGTTTTTGCAAAGTTTCCAATGTTCCCCCAGTAAGCCATCCCTGCTTCCTCTCCTGCACTACCAATACCTCTTCCTTTTTAAATTTCACATCATTACCAAACAACCCCTCAAATTAATAAAAAAAAAATGATTCATTATAAAAAATTATCATAATTTCTACCAGACATGTACATGCAATTAGATTCACTCGTAGACAATGGAAAAATCACATTATATGCACGGTAATAACCTTTGATTTCTTATGACAAGAAATTCGACTTTTTCACGTAATAAAGCGTTTATATATAAAGAAATTTGTTATCGATAAGTGTTGACTGATGCACTATGAAATATTATTGTATGTAAGGTTTCTCTACACTCACGCTGGTACATTATATTGGGAGAGAGATAATTTACTATCACACAGTCAGTCAATACCGACAGTATAAAAAACAAAAATAAAGTAAATTTTCTTACGATTAGTATAAAATCACTTTAAAGATTGATAAGAATTTTAGTGATCGGCTAGCTATTGATCGGTAAAGTTTGTTCCGTTTAAAAATGACTACAAATCCATTTGATATTGATAAGGGTCCAGAATCACCTGAACTTTTGGCAATTGCTGAGAAAGAATTGCGAGAAACACCAGAGATTAAAGCAAAAGGATTAGCAGAATTACGTGATTTACTCAAACAAAACCCCGACTTGACATACAGTGAGGAAGATGAATTTTTGATAATTATATTGAGGGCATGTCATTGGTATCCCGAAAGTGCAATCAAAATGGTAAACAATATAACAATTATTTTACATCTATTACACCCATGAGTGCCTTTATCACAGCCATAAACAACATATCAGTTAATCACTTAGTCAGCTGGTGGTATTTTATCAAAAATCAATTTTTTTACATCACATAAATTAGTTCCAATCTAAGCTGGATTAATAACGTCTTGATTACATTCCAAAGTTTAAAACATTGTTCATATCGACGTGAAATGATTGACGAAATTTTAATTTAATTTATGGTGGCTTATTTATGGAATTAAGAAGAAAAGAATGTTGATAAAGTTTTATGTGCGTAGGCTTAATGCGATCGGCAGGCTCATTTTTATGAATGTTATCTGAGAGATTTAGATTACAAATTTTTTTTTATGGAATGAAGATGGGAATGACCTATGCTCAGTTTTTCACTTTAAAGATATTTTTTATGTAAAATGTTTTTGCTTACTCAAAAAATTGATTTTCTTGCAAATATTTACTGAATGAGGTTGTTAACCTCGATTAGCTAAGATTTGAGATTATGAAGAGATTGAGTGTGAGCAATAAATTAAGTTCAAATAATGATGGTTATGAGAGCATTAGGCGCATTACGAGGGAGATGTTCTAGTAAACTTAGTCAACTCTACGCACCTTGATTCCAAATTATTAATAAGACATAGGAGCTCTGACTAAAGTAAAATTGAACATGCTTTAAAAATCCCAATCTAGTAGCTACTAAACTAGCTTTATATTCCATCTCATGACTTAGATAAATTCTCATATTCTCAAAAACAAAAGCCATAAAAAACTCTGCGAAAATAAAAATCTTCACGTCCACAATCCACAACATTGCTCTCAAGTTGCTCCTTTTTCCTCAAACAAAAGTGCTTTAAAAATGCAATTAAGAGCACAATCTACAATGTCATAAATTTATTGCAACATTATCAGTAATCACATTTATAAATACACAATTCTTTTTTTGTTTCCAATTCCCAACACATAGTAAGTAAATATTTATTATTTTGTTCCAATTTCTATTTCTCACAGCTCCGACAAATTGCAGAATTCAGAAGAGACAATTGGAAAATTTTGAAAGACTTGATGCCAGAGCAAGAGAAGATTCCATTTCAAGAAGGTGGAGTTGTGAATGTTGTGACTACAAAAGACCACAAAAACCGCCGTTTATTGATTGTTCATAATGGAAAAGATTGGGATCCTGCGGTCTGTTCTGCAGATTCTCTGTTTAGAATTTTCTATCTAAGTATGAATGAATGTCCTTTTATTGCATTAAAATTATAAATTATTAATAAATTTTTTTGCAGTCCACATAATGGCCCAACTTGAAAAGTCGACACAAATTTGCGGTTGCGTTTGTATCTATGACTTTGAAGGCTTAGGAATGAAACAAATTAGAGCAATGTCCCCCGGCAATGTACAACGTTTATTAACATTCATTCAAGTCGCCATGCCTTTAAGAATGAAGGAAATTCATTTTGTCAAGCAACCTTTCATCTTCAAGATGGTGTGGAGTCTAATGAAACCCTTCGTTAAGGAGAAATTAAACAAAAGAGTACGTTGATATTTGAGCTACTTAAAAATACTTTATAGCTATAAAATTTCAATTTTTTTTACTAGATGTTCTTCCATGGCAATAATATGAAAGCTCTTCACGAGTTCATTCCACCAGAAAACCTACCCAAAAATTATGGTGGAACTTTACCCGAGATTAATTACTCAGGAAAGGACTGGTATCCAGTTTGTGAGGATAATCATGACTTCTTCGTTAAATATAATACTTTTGGGTTTAAGGACAAGGCGTAGATAATTAAATACACTAAATTTCCTCTCATTATCCTTAGAAAAAAATGTGTTGTTGACTTTATTGAACATCAAAGGAATTTTAAAAGAAATCATTGACTAAATTCGAAGAATTTCATAAAAACAATTCATTTTTGGTATTCCTTTACACAGCATAAAGAATTTCTTATCAAAGTCAAATTCAACAAAGTGGTTCTTTTTATCTTTTTTTCGAATAGACTTTAAGACGTTAAATCGATTGTTTGTTGTTGAGTGGAATAAAAGATTAAATGCTCGAGTTAAAGGAGATTTGATTTATTTTCTGGCTTCTTGTGAAGCTTAAGGGTAAGGGGAAGGTGGTGTAGCCTCGATGATTATTAAGAATGACCAAATCACGCCCATAAACAACAGTGCAACACATAAACTCATTCCAAATCCACATCCACTCTAGTTTTAATGTCAATCAATTCAACCTAATTCGTTTCTAAGGATATCCATATTATTATTTTCTGTTAATTTCATCCAAAAGACATTAAAATAATTGAAAAAACATACATAAAAGTTCTTATAGAAATTTCCTTTTCAGTCCTAAAGAAGCCCTCGAAACAAAAAAGGGATGTTGTCACAAACACTTTAAGATTTCGGATAGACATAATCAAAGTTTAAGTGACTTCATGAAAATTACCCGATAATTACATTTCCAATTTATACACAGAAAAAAATAGAAATTTTTTACAACTTTTAGTGCCTTTTTTTTTGCTTCGTCTTGAATCTTGAAAACACTCAAATTTACGCTTGTTGTTTCGATTGATTTATATACAAGTTATAATTACGCAGAAGTAAAGTTTTAATTGGAACGAAGATATATTTTTTTTTCAGAAATTGTATCTTTGGTAGAAAGTGATAGAAAAGTTTCATGTCGGTGCTTGCACTAAGATAATTAACCCAATTCTATCTATAAACGTCTGTCTTGCTTTTTTTTCATGTTTCTTTACGTTCAATCCGTACGTGATCATTTTAGGATGGAACAGAAGAGAACGATTTTTTTTTTATGTATCTTCACTTCTTTTTTGGAGCTTTTATATTGGAATGGGAAACTATAATGCTCATGGGTTGTCTCCTGGCTGAAGCTATAGGGGGTCATTTCCTTGTGACGTTTAAAGCTGTTTAATAGCTTAGTTGGAATCCAGAATTTCATTTACAACAGGAGCCAACCCTAATCCAAACTTACATGTATTAATAACTCAATATGAAGCTGCCAAATGCCTGCAGACAACAATATTAATATTCCATACTGACTATCTTTATTACTCCTCCCAAAACTTATCAATAAATGCGTTCATGCCTTCCCCAAAAAATACTTCTCTCTTGATTTCCCTCATTAATACTCCGTGACCTTCCTCATCATGAAACTAATCCATTAATAAATTAAATTACTTCTTATCTTAATTTTTTTACTTCTGTTCTTTTTCTTTCAGTCCCAAAAATTCTCTTTGAATACAAAAATGTATATTTCTAGCTTGTAGCTTGCTAGATTAGACATGGCTGAGTTTGTAGATATTGATAATTTCTATTTTCTTATTCATCTTAGTCAAACATAATGGAAATGGAGAATAATGAGAAGAAGAAATGATGAAAATTATGTTTTATGAACAAAAAAAGAAGATGGAAACACACGAGAATTGTTCGTGCTTATTACTTTTATGATTGAAAGTTACTCTTGAATAAAACTATGAAAATTTTATTTTCTATGCATAGCAACAACTTCCCGCAGCTATTTAACTTAATTTATTGTTCATTCTTCTTTTATTGTGTGCTTTCTACTCTTTTATCCTCCTTCTTGTATGTATAAAAAGGCATCCATAATAAAGTTTATGGTTTCATAATTGTTTAATTTCAATTCAACTACCGCATAAAGCATGAATGTGTGTATAGTCAAAGTAAATGCTTCTGTTCAAAAAATTATTATTATTATGAGATGTAAGGAAGTAGTTTAATATCTCAAGAGATATTTTCTTATTTAAGAGAAATTATCACACAAAATTGGGGTTAAATTCTTATGAAATGTGGGCAGATATGGTTTTATTTTCTGAGGAAAGGATTTAGCTAAAAAGGGTCGAGATTCTGAGATTTTGAAAATTGTTATGGGAAAATGGAATTATGTTAATCCCAAAGCAACAATTTATGACCTTCGGCCTTGATTATTGGGAATATTATGAAAAAGATTTATAATTTCCTTAATATTGCAAAGAAATCCGTTACGTTTTGAAATTTGAAGAAAATTCTAGCCATTTTTAAAATTGTTCTCACTTAAAATTTTGTTTTGATGATTTAGAACTAAATTCTTACTTAACCTTTGACTTTAAGACATATTTCAAAAGAAAAATGTGGCAAGAATCATTTAATTAATCCAAAATCACTGAATACAAAGTTAAAATTAATTTATTTTACAAACGCTTCACGTAAACTTCATTGTTGATGTTAAAAATAATTTCATTCTTTTAAATAATCCCGAATCACCTTCAACTTACGACTCCTAAATATCCATTTACAATATCACACCTTAATATACATCATCCTTTGAAGATAATACGATAAGCACAACTTAGCATAAAAATTAAATGAATTATTTCAAATCATTTATTTAAAAGCGAAATAGATTTGATGCTGAAAAATATCTTTAATCATGATAAGAGCTTTTAAATCCTTCCATTCTGTAAGTGTAAATGAAATATTCCTTACGCTTTGAATTAAAATAACTTCGTATTAAAAAGATAACGAGATAAATATTTTCGCTTTCTTATATTCCTTTATCATTAAAACAAAACAGCTTTGTAAAAAGGAAATAAGAATAAACCTTTCATTTATGTTCATTTTGAGTCATGTTCTTAGTTAATAAACAGCATTCAGGGGTGGAGTAATATTTAATTCTGGGATGGGATAGGATTAGAACTAACGAGGTATTATGGTGTGGCTAGGGTACATCATAAACTTATGCATATGCGAGAAACTGTTCATTATTTTAAGAATCCTTTAACATCTGCTTTTTTCCTTCCAACACCCCTGCCAAGAATTTATTTGACAGACTTATCTTCTTCATCTTCATATTCTTTTTCGGGTGGATGTGTCTGAGTATATTTATGATTCATTAACTCTTATGTCATTTTTATATTACAACAGCATAAATGTTTAATTAAAAAATATTATTTAATACTCAAAATCATAAAGTTAAGACTTTTGTTTTTGCATTATAGCCATTCATCAGCATGATAAAAAATGCCCATAGAGATCAATTGATAGCATTTAGATTAAATTTTTTTGAAAGCCTTCTCATCTTTTTTATGTCTTTCATTGATGCCTTTTTGCAATAAAGGCATTATTGATGATACTTTTTTTTACATTATATTTACTTTCTCTCCTTCACTCGAGAACGCAAATTGGAATGCCATTAAAATGAAACATGCTCTAAATACGTGATACACCCTACAATAATTTAAATATTTTAACAAGACATTTACATCGACTGAAGCGCCATGAATTTTTAATGAAATTTCCTTTTTATCATTTGAAATAGTGAAAAATTGAAGTGTCAGTGGAAATTTATGATATGATAATACTGCGCGCTTATTGCAAGTTGTAGTCAGGTGTAAAATCAATAAATGAAGGATTTCCTATTAGAGCCACAGTGTCGTGTGATAAATTAGAAAATTAACTGACTGTTATAGATATTTACGGGTTCGGTTAGTCAATTTTGATAAGTCATAGAATTAATTGCTTTTTAAATGGTTGGGAAAAGTTTAAATTTCAACGGATTTCAAGAATTCAAATTTTAATTGAAGTCAAAAATTCAAATCCAAATCTATAATGCCCGTTATTTGGCTGATTTCTTGTTTCATGCCAATAATAATTAGATGTTGTTACCGAAGAAATCCTATGGCAAGCATGACCATAGAGCTTTCATTCATAAAGATATCCCAAGGCGACTGTAACTATTGAAGCAAATAGACCAGTAATGTTAATTAATATATTCTGTTAATAGCTATAAAAGCTACACACAGCTTTAACCTTGTAACCTTGTTTTCAAAGTCGTCACGTGTAGCAACTCTTCTTACAGACACAACATAAAAATATCATATTTTAAGCAAACTTGTGCTTCATATCAAAGAACAAAGAAATTGTTTAAGGCACTTTTAAAGGAAAAAATTCTCTTTCACTGGGATCAAAAGTTGTATTAACGAAGGCAAAAAAGGTGCCGCCAGGCATATCGGCATAGAAGCTATAAACTCAAATAATTCTCCTATAATGGCCGTACTGTGAATGGAATTGAATTTATTTTTATCATTTTTTTCATATTTTTCATGTTGCCAACATTGTTGTTATTTGTAGAGAAATAAAGGAACGAGAGAATACCTTTATGGTAAACAATTTTTTTTAGAATAAGCCTCAGAATGGGTGTCAAAAAATTATTTTTCATGATATATAGACTGCTGATGTTTATATTGGTTCGAAGCAACAAAAGGAAGGAAAGTCAGGCAAAACAAAAACAAAGTTTCACGGCACATATGGCTAATTCAATTTTTTTCGTATATCATATCGCATTTCCTGTCTTTTTTTGAATGTGTCACATAAAATTTATGACAAATATAAAGGAAACTTTACTGGAAGATACACACATACAAGATGATACGGAAATGTTTTAATCGATGATGGAACATCAAGTAAAGAATATTTAATTTCTAACTTTGAGTTCTTACAACAGGGTTGGGAGCTGCCTGGTTGATGTTTAGGAACTTTAAAAATAGCTTGGTACCAAATGAATATCCTAGATACAGTCCAAATTTACATATTCAAATATTATACGTCATTTAAGCTTATATTGAATGTAATTTCAACCAATCTTCATTTGTGGATCTTAACTAAGAATATCTCGAATATCTAGGTGCCTAAGTGTCTTGACCTAGTCATCTTGTCTATCATCTAATCACTTCGGCACTTCATAGAAGCACCTGGTCTGGTTCAAGTAT